TCATCTTGATTTTGAATATTGATACAGGCTCGTTTCAGTTTCAACCATTCAGGTAGTTCAATGTATGAACCTCCACGAGTAGGATTGTATTTGTCATAGTTGAATTTCAACTTATCAATATGCTTTAACACCAATCCACTCTCCGACATCTCCATCTTATCTAACTGAAACTCTATGTCAGTTGCCATTTGATTTAACTTTTGGGGGATTTCATCTTCATTGGTGATGTTATATCTTCTACTTCTGATGCTCTCCCTTATCTCTTCGTTAGTTTTCTTGCTCTTCATAGTGGCGGAAACCTGTAAAATAACTTTCATACCCTTGTGTTTCATCAAATACTCTTTCAACCTTAAATCTTGGTATTTGAGATACTGTAGCGCCTTGATGCCTCTAACTCTGACATTTGTGATGGCAAATGAATTGACATAACCCTTGAAAGCAGATTGTTCGTTGGTGGTGGTTGCTTTGTATCTCATTTGGATGCCTGTGAGTGCTTTGTTCTTGTCTAAATTTATCCATCTAATGTCTCTCTTCTCTTTCAATTCGTATCTTTTGTAGTCCATAGTCTGCCTTATCTTGTTGAACTTGGTTTTCAATCTGTTCGTGATGGGTTTGTTTCTTTCAAAGTTGTAGGTCTTATCACCTATCTTCAGTTTCTTAAGTTCCCGTCCATTCTGTTTCAATATCTCGCCTGTCTCACTTGATAAAATGTAATCTAAAACAATCTGGTCTGAGCGTTCCATTATATTATATTCTATATTATTATTAGATGGTGTTTCTTTAAGTAGTTTTTCAGTTTCCATTCTTTGTTGAGGATGTTGCGGTGGATTGGATTGTTGTTGGATTAAGTTTTGAGATAAAATTTCACTTTTTAACCTTACACCCTCTCCCATTCTCTCCTTAATATATAAGGTGCCATTTCTTTAAGTAGTTTTCGGGTCTCGTTCAGTTTTCAGGTAATTTGGTTCTGGGTTGAAGTCCAACGCGAGAACCTCACGGTTGGTTTTGAAAAACTGGTTTAAAGAAATGGCAACTTATAGTAAATATAGGTATGAACAGGTATGAAAACGGAAAGATTTACAAAATAACTGACATTGGATACAACAAAACCTATGTAGGGAGCACTTGCGAAAGTTTGAGTAAAAGAATTGAGAGGCATAGAGCAAAATACAACAACTATAAGACAGGAAAGACAAACAGCAAGATTTCAGTGTTTGATATCTTTGATGAGTTCGGTATTGAAAATTGTAAGATTGAATTGATTGAGAACTACCCGTGTAATTGTAAGGAAGAACTATTGAGACGAGAAGGACACTACATCAAAAACACTGATTGTGTCAATAAGGTCGTTCCGCATAGGACGGAAGAAGAGAGAAAAGAGGCGTCGCGGGAATACTACTACAAACATAGAGACAAAATATTAGCGAAACACCTTGAAAAGATTGAGTGTCCTTTTTGTAAGCGTGTAATGTCTCAATATTATGTTCCGATACATCAAGGGTCGAAAAATTGTGTCAAACAAACAGGAATAAGTAGCGAATAAAACGTTCTTGTTATTGAGAAGGTTTGAGTTCAACAGTTCATCAATGACATCTGCTGTTAATACAAATGTTGGTTTGACGATGTTTTGATACATTGGATTTGGACGAAATGGTGCGTCCGCAGTCGGCACACTTGAAGGGTGTTGATAATTTCTTTTGGTAGCATTTGGAAAAGTATTCGGGGTCTAATGGTTTTCTGTCATAAGTTCCATCGGGTTTCCATCTGGTGGATGCTTGGATTGGGGGTTCTTGGACTGTTTCTGGATTGAGTGCTTCAACCATTTGGTCAAAGATGTCCTCATCCATTTCTTGCTTCTTTCCGTCAACTACTAAATAGCAGGGCATATCAAATCTTAATTACATAAGGCGACTTGTCTTTAAGTATCTTTGGGGTGTTCTGTGTTCGCAAATGAGGCCAACCCGTTGGATGCTCCCAACGTCAAGTGCTGGAGACTGCTTGGAAATGTCATGCCAGCAAATATTTGGTTGGATTTTCCTCGAAACAATCAGGTTTTGAAGGCTGTTTCAATAGTTCATTGCTTCAAGGCTTTGATAGAACCCGTTTCCAAAATCTTGCATTATGACAAATGCTGGGATTGACCTGCTAATAGATGGTGTCCCTGATGTCTTCACAACCTTGGCGTGGGACGCATTCGGCAAGTGGAAAAGGGCAATTGGATGCAATTTTCATGCTGTAAAGCAGTGAAAAGTGGTTGATATCATCACCAAACTTCTGGGCCTGAAGAATGCTACATTTGAGAGTGCCAATCCAACAACTGCGAAACAAACCAACCTTCAATCTCTGCCATTTCATTTCACTTTTGCTCATCCAGTCTTGGAACACTGTGCGGTCTGTCCCACCGGTCAATTGTGCAGTGCAGATAGAGTGCATCCCGGATTGAAGGGTAGGTGCAACCCCAATAAAAATCATCACCTTTCTGTGTTTTGCCAGTCTGGTTGGACACAATGCGGATTGCACCATCCATGCAATCCAAAAGTCCTACAAGGAACCAAGCACTCTCATTCACATGCCACTGCCACTTCCGCCTTCAGACCTTCTTCAAAAGGTCATGCACTGTGCGAGAAACTGCGCAGTAGCGTCGCTCCTCTGCCCGCGCATCCACATAGATGCAATGAGCGCTTCGGTTCCGCACCGCTCTCGCCACGTCCGCAGGCGTGAAGTGCTGCCTGAACCTCTCAGCATCAACACACTGCTCGAAGGAGCTATGCGCCACGGCCTTGGCCAAGGTGCGTGCCATCCTCACCTTTTCTGGGCCAAAGCCACCTTGGTTGTCAATGCCCAAGAAGTTCTGGACCTGACTTCTTTGCACCGCAAGCCGTTTGGACTTTGCTTCTTCCCATGATGTCTCTTTGGCATTTTGCGCCACGTCCTGCAGGAGATGTGGGCAAGTTTCAAGGTTTCACGGTTCGTTGATGTTTCGGGTTGTTGTCCCATGGTTTCATGACCCTTGTCCTCCATTACACCGATGTTGCCACCTGTGAGTTGAATCATGTCGCTCTTGTGCGTGGAGGCCTCTTCACCGCCATGATGACGTAGGAATTCCTCAACCTGACAAGGAGACGTCCATCTGCAAACATCCCAACCCATGCCAGAAGTAGCACCAACAAAACTGAAGGCGACTGAACAATTACCACATGAACTGAAGCTCTTCATTCTGGCCTCCTTCTGCGAGAGTTCTTCACTCATCAGTGGTGGAACGAAGAATCGGCGCTCACGACCGTCTGCGTCAAAAGCCGTGGCTGACACTGCAGAACTGACCATCACCAGCACTTTGGCAACCTCGTCATCAAAGCCCCATGACTTCGCAAAGGCGGAGACGCTGCTCATCACATCTGGATTAAAGACACCACGAGGAACTTCAAGGATGATGATGGGTTGCCGTCCCATTTCTTGTTTGGCATCTCTCAAGCCACGCATCATCTCCTCTTCATGGAGCACTGCCAACCTGCTCCTCAATGCGTCCTTGGCCAAGTCGTTGTTCTGCATGAGCTTGATGTGGAGCACTCCATTGTTCCACTGCTTCTCCTGCAAGACTTTCCAAAGGATGGTGCTCTTGCCCACTTCATGATTCCCCCAGATGAGGATTGGGCGGGGGTCGTCCAAGTCCAACAACTGGTGCAGTTCGTCCTGCTACAGTGCATAGTGAGCATAGTGCATCAAATTCAAAATGCCAATATGACATGGAATAACACCATCTCAATAACAAATCCCTTCTGTCAAGAAACACACAGGCAAACACAACAAAAAAAAAGGTGGTGCTTGGACGCCTTGATTATCTTCCGTTCAATCTTGACACGTGGCTCGCGTGCTTTGAAAGAGGCATTCACAATGATATTCTTGACGATGCCGTTCTTGTTCTTGACGATGCCGTTCTTGTTCTTGACGATGCCGCCACATATCCCATCCAAAGGTCACGATGGCCAACGAGCCACCACCACCAACCAACCACTTTCCAATCTGCTGTTTCGTGGTCGGCTCCTTCTCTGGAGCGTTGTTTGAGAAGCAACGGTGGTTTCGTCGGCCTGACATGAGAAGCCGAAAACCACAACATCGGGCAATGAGGCAACGCGACATACCCATGGCGGAAATCTCCAGAACTGGGACTGTGCTGGAGCTCAAGCACTTTACGATTTCTTGATGCGTTGACTTGTTCATAGTGCAACACATGCCGCAAGTAGAACTCATCTTATCTTGTGAGCATTTGTGAGCCTGTCTGCTGCGGGAGAAAGCAATCAACATCTCTGGGTGTAGTGTAATGCCACAATGTGTACATAGAGTGTACATAGTGCCTCAAGAAACGCAATATGTCCTCAAAAGTGATGCTTCCATGCAAACGAAACAGCGCGCACATCTCATCTGGGCGCCCCCGACGAAATCCAGAAAGTCCATGAAGAAGTCCGCAAAAAATGAGGCGAAGCGAAAGACGTTCAAATCAAAACACAACCAAGAAAAAACGCCACCAAAAAAGACGAGAATGAGAGAATAAAAAATGAAAGATGTTGAAAGACATGGAACCTTTTGAAAGATATCAAGTTGAATGTTCTGTCTTGAAACTGATGATAAGGAAACACAATAAAATCATACCCAAAAAAAGACAAGACATACCTTGACAATAAAAAACGACAACCACAAGTACACTATCCACAGTATCTCCCTCATCTGAACCAAAACACAAACCCCAACAGCCTAAACAAATCCTACCCTCATCTGAACCAAACATTGACACATCACTTTAGCATCAAAATGACCCCCAAAACCCCACCTGAAAAATCATCAAAACCAAGGATGAAACATTGAACCCCAACACAAAATCATAACAAGCAACATACCAACATACACGCCCTGAACACCCATTTTACCATTTTTTTCCCAAGAAACCCAACTAGCCACCATTGGCACCCCTTCATTTCCCCCGCTTCCCCATATTTCCCCTTGTCCTGCGACAGGAACGGCGTGTTGCTGGACAGACTGGACAGGCTCAGCGCTGCCGCGCCCACCTGCGAATCGTCTGAGCTCATGCTGAGCTCCAGCGTCACAGTGCCAGTGGTGGCAGCCAGGCGCCGTCCCAAGTTGCCACCCACCACGCTGATGCTGACAGCACCAGGTGGAAGCTGAGAGGCATTGGCAACCACCTAAGGGCTATGGGAGCCAACTGAAAATATTTTGGGGGGAGTTGAAAGAAAACCATCACCTAAGATCGGCCAAAAAGGAGTGCCAAATCCTCCTAGGGATCCAGGGTTGGCTGGGGTAAAACTGGCTATGACATAATACCCATAGCCAGTGGAACTTGAGGGATATCGCCCTGTTGCCAACCAGCATGTTTTGGCAACGCTTGCCTTGGCTAAGTTATCCTCTGCCGTGAGATCAAAACCTCGTGTGAGGCCTTCCAACTGCATGGTCTGTCGCAAGCCCACCACGTGCAACGTGCAGTCTTTCAGTGGCAAAAAGGAGCCATGTAGATAGGGCCTCAGATTTGCCAAAAAAAGTCAGAAAAATGACCAATGACCGGTCTGACCTCTGCCTGTAGACCTCTAAGCTGGCAATGGAAAATCCCAAATTCCCCATGACCGGCATGATTTCCAATTATCCACAGAGGTTTCCAATCCATGGGGGTACCCCCTTTTTTCGTCATTGCCATCCCAAAGACGGTGGCCCATCGTGCACCCGGGAGGTGCGATACTGCCGACAGCCTTCAGCCGAACTGTACGTGCAGGAGCCGATGCGGAAGTGTGGTTGGATGGCCCATTCATCGCCTGGCGTCCCAGCGAATTGTGTCTGATCTGGTCGAATTTCTTGATCATCTATTCCTTTCCAGTGATCTTATACTATTTATAGTATCCTATCTTTCGAAGATTCCTGCCCGATATATATATAATATAATATATATATTATATATATATGTATATGTATGTATATGTATGTATATATTATTTGTCATTGTATATCACGGTATATCATAGTATTCAACCCATGGATTTGTTGGTGGGTAAACCAGTTTGCCCTTGTGACCTCCCCACCTTTCTTACAGTCTCGGTGAAATGCGGAGAGTAGGTCCACGTCATTTTCCACGTAGAGCACGTAGGTGGGAGGCGCGTCTGCCCTCAGAGGAGCGTAGACAGTGATACATTCAACCTAGCTGCTGAAAAAGGAGGTGTATTGTATTACATATTACATCTATATAATTCTATCATCACATATTATATCCTTTATATCCTATAAGAATATGATAGAATCATAATATGAGGATCTCTTCAACCGATCTCCACGCAATATGGTCCCAGGGACACGTCGATCACCGAGAAGAAGGAGCTATAGTTGCTGGGCATGGCTGCGGGTGCTCTTGCTCGAATCTCCACAAAATAGTCATCACCCGCCTGGCCCATAGTGGCGTCGACGATTTTAAGTCAACAAACACAAAACAACAGAAAATAGGGAGTAACATGTGGGATTTCATATGGGGGGTTGTGAACAAACTAGAAAATGGGTATACCATGGCTAGAATGGGATGTTCAACTTGGGGATATTAACTATAGAATGGGTGTATTGGGTGAATCATCATGGGATTCTAATCATCGGATATATAATGCAATACACAATTCTCGCCAACAATCGATGGATTTATCCCAAAAACAGGCCAAAAAACGCATAAAAACACCATATCTTAGTAGGCGGATTTAAAGCATGAAGCTTAGGGTCTTTTCCAATAATTTTCGGGTACTAAAGCCATAGACTAAAACCAAACTCCTGGATTCGTGAAACGATTCGATTCAACAGAGGACGAGTGCTGCATTCCCAAGGTTCTCCCTGTGTTGTCAATGGGCATAAACCATCCCCAAGGACTTACCATCTTAATGGCTGGGATTTCAACATATTTCAACCATCCCCAGTCATGGTGACTACTGTTAGGTTGCCCACATTAGCACATTAATATACATTAATAAGTATATGATAAAGCCACAAGCTCTCGGAAAGCTTTAGGGTTAAAGTGTTAAGTGGCAATGGGGTGGTAGGGTTTGCCAGGGATGCTTTAGGGGATAAGAAATCAACACACTTTGTAGGATCATGTTGCTACTCACCAACCATGATAATCAGTGACTAAAGTCACAGAGGAGGCCACCAGTCACGAGAAAGTGAGTTTTTGACTACCCTGCCCTGAACACTAGGGTCACAATTTGGTGTCGTTTCTCCCATCTACGAATGGTGAGAAATCAACCCGATTAAAAAATATACGAATTACAACATAAATATACAAAATAGTAAATGAATAGGATCACTAGTTGTATCATGTTGTATCCCTCTCCCATTGATAAACCCGGGCCCTGCGCCAATGCTACCTGCAGAGATGAAGGAACTTCCCAGGAAAACTTCCCAGTCGCCGCATTCGCAAAACCTGCCGACCAATCCGAGACACGCGAACGGTATCCGCAGGCGAACGGAGCGACGTAGCATGTTTTCAGGGGCAAAAGCCATGGCAAAAGAAACACATGAAAGTTCATGACATGAAAGGAAGACCTATATTCTGTTCGTTGTCTGTTCCCTTCTCAACTATTCTCAACCTCCGACAAACATCCTCAACTTCCAACCAACAGGTCTAAACCAACAGCATCAAACAATAGCCACCAAAACAAGGCCCATTTTTCTCACATAATCCCTTCCCACATTCATATTAAACACCACCTAAAGGTCGTCACCATGGTTTTTGTTTTTTGGGGGATGGGATTGTAGAATGATAGCCATATTAGTTATAGGTCAACTTAGCTATAAACCAACTACCCTCTGGTTATTGAACATGACTATGGACGCCATGGCCCATAGAAATAAGTTCTAAAAAATATGATTTAATCTATATGATTTGCCAAGGGAGTGGAGATGTTTCATGGCTACGTTGTACTACGTTGCATCACCAAAGGCTATAAATCAAAAAATAATGTGAAAGAAACTTTTTAGAAATCAGAAACCAACTATAAATCATTATAAATCCCAAATCAGGTGAACTTTTGACCAACATTTAACATAGTCATCCCAGGTCGATGGTGCTGGCGCCTAGATGTTCGTCCGTCATCGTTGCCTCGCCCGAACAGGAACTCGTCTTCCAGAGGTGGAAGTCCTACTGCGAAAACATGTGGGCCGGGCAAAGGCTGCTGAAAAAAAAAACAAGTTCCTTCTGGTGTTGAATTTCTTTTAGATATGTTTTTTAGTGGTTTTGACATACGAGTTATGTGAGATAGTGTTTAATTACTAGTTTGATAATGGTTGATCTATTATGTATATAGATATAGGGGATTACGAGTCAAATCCATGATATGTTTTTCGGGTGTTGGTGGTCAAAACAAGATGAAATCATTAGCCGGTGGGTCGGGTGGGTGGGGACGGGATCTGGGCCCAAAGCACCAACTAATGATATTGGTTGATGGATGCAACATATGTGTAAACATATTAACAGCAACCACCAAGATGGATAAACACAATAGCAGTCAGGAGTTTTCAAACTATCAGCCTGGCAGCTGATCATCATCTCAGGTCAGGACTTAGAATGGAAACTCTAAATGATGGATGTAGCCAGGTCCCGTAGCGAAACGCCCGGCGTCCAGCACCAGGCCGGATGGAAGACGCTCGGGATCTCCCCAGGTGACTTGGTACCGCTGGCCCTTCACCAAGAGATCTCCTGCGACGGAGAGTTGGAGAGTCATTGAATATCTAAAGATAAAGAAACCAATCTTAGATAGATAATATATATATATATAGATGTATATGTATCTTCAATATGACTATATAGACATTCTATTAAGATATATATATATATATATCTTTAAGTTAAGTTATTAAAAATATTATGGTATTTTGAAATCGCATATCTTAGAAAACAACATACCATATATATATATATATGTATATTATGATCTGCCAAACAATCATCTAATCATCTAATCATCTACAATCTATAAGAATCTAATCATCCAATCATCTCCAAAGTTTTTCCGAATCATCACCATCTTCACCACCAGCGCCGGCCTCGCCCGGGTTTCCACACCGCGGGTGGCCCCATGAAGCTGTCGGGCGGCAGGCCCCGTCCCAAGGAATTGGCCGCGACGCAGGCCGGGCGGCTGCCCGCGAGGCGGTCCAGGTAAGCGTGGACCTGGGAATTCTTGGGGAAACTCTTGGGGAATGGGATCATACCCTCCAGTAAACTAACATAATTATGGAGAATCAATGTTTTCCATGGGTAAATCAACTATTTCTATGGCCATTTTCAATAGCTATGTTTGTTTACCAGAGGGTAACCAGGGATTACAATGGGATCACATTTCTGGTTGTAGTCATAAAATCACATAAAATTACATAGGATAAACATGGTGATATGATATTTCTGGATAAAGTAGTTCATTAGTCACTGGCCGGAAAACATCAGCATTACAGGTTGTGTATAAGGTTTTTATTAAAGTTTTTATAAGCATATTATTACTATTATTCGCTGTATATTGGAATGGTTTACAAAATCTACCATTTCCATAGTTGGCTTATATTCGAATATACTTATAAAATTAATTGAACAGAATAGTATTCCACAGGGAAAAATTGGGACCGCTGTTTCCCACTATAGCATGTTTAACGGCAGATACCCTCTGGAACATCATTGTCCCCCGTGGAAAGTCAATTTTGGGGTATAGGGCTATAGGGTATACCCCATTCATCAAGTCATAGGTTTTTTCCCACGTCCACTTTGAAATGGCTAAGCGGCTAAATCCTTCATCTCGGAACAAAGCCACATACATATTGCAGTCGTGTCCGTGAAATACCCGTGATTTTTGGGTGCTAAAAAAATCTCGGATTACATGGATTACCATTTCCCGATATTTCCCACTTTTCAGTTGGGTCATTCAAACCCTCACAATCATTACGATGGGCTTCCCATGGTTAAGCGGAACGTACAGAAACAATCAGAAATATCTGAATAGCATTGCCATTCATCAATTAGAAATGTTCCACCTCAAAAACTCAGATCTTATATTCTCCCATGATATTCCCAATATAATATATATATATTTCTACGAATATCCCATTAATATCAGCATTCATGAACTACTTGGAGGATCTTGGAGGATCATCTTTCTATAAGTGCTTAGTAAGCCTAGTTAGAAAGTCCCCATTCAGTGATCTCATCTATAAATGGCTTACAACTTGTAGGTTACTGACCAGTTACGCTTCGTAGGATTTCAGAGATGACCCTCCGCCGACAAATCGTCGGGGCTCTGCCGCCGCGGCAGGAGAGGTGGCAGTGGCTGCATCATAGTACTCTCGGTTACCCCATTGACCTTGAACGAATCATGGCTGTCATAAATTTAACCATCATTAAATGAAAAAATCGTGGGAATATAAGGTAGGGATATGACTGGAGTATGAATGGGGATATAATCATCGGGATACTATCCACAACGGTGTCACACATGGATTGAACGAAATGAAGGTTTTAATATGTTTTGATGGGAAATTCATCTATCAATGGTATCAGGAAACTTCCAATTTACAATTTCAAGTTTGATGATTGAAGAGGAGCTGCTGGATGATTTGCTTCCCCTGTCGTGTGTCAAGGGGCCATACTTGGACCAAAAGCCCGTGTCCACAAAGTACATGAAAAGTGTTGAGTCGCCCAACTCCTGGTGAGATCGGACAGGTCACTTCGGTCACTTCTACCTGTTGAAATTGTGGTTTCTCACATGTCTTGGCCACACTAAACTGCCCTCTTTCGAATCACTACATAAATGGTAAACACTAATTGATTCTGAATGCCGCTAAACCCCCACAGACTGAATTATGATAACCCATAGGCAACCCCTAAAGGAGATGCAGAAAAGTCTCAATTCACCACCCATGTTCAATCTGGACTTCTGACTGTTCTAACCTCTTGGGGGGGTTGCAATAATTCTTGCTGGCTTTTTGTCAAGGTCTGTCTGCTGAAAATGCCATGCCATCCACTGCTTGATGCCATCCAAAGGAGAAAAACTTGCCATTTTCATGATATGGTTATCGCTGATATTTGTCAAAACCCTGGTACCCTAAGTACCCTAATCAAATAGCTGGTTACTGGTTTCCAAGTTTCCCCGACACATGGTAATTTCATAGCTAACTTGACCCATCCCCAGATCTTCTTGGACCATCCAACTGCCATCTGTCTTGCACTGCACTCCTCGCGGAACATGTCCAGCCACGCTTCCACAGCACTTTGGAAAGCCGGCGTGCGGCCAGTGGCCATGAGCAACTCGGTGATGGCTCCAATGGCCTCACGAGGCTCCCAACACCAGATACGTTTGGGGGTGAAATGGCTAGTTGAAGAGTTAAAATATGATCAAACAATATAAAACGCAACATGTCGACACCTGTTGTGGCTACTTTTTTTTACTTCTAATGGGTTGGAGCAACCCTAGATATGTGTGCTCACATATATATATATATATATATTATAGCTATAATCAAGTCTAATTAACATTATATAAGATAGCTGTATGGATCCTGTAGGTTTGAGTATTCAAATTCCAGATCATATAGGTGATGCGATGTTATACATATATATATATATATATGAATTAGGTCATTAGGTGTCACTGTACATCCTTAGAAGGTTTAGGTGGGGATATAATCCGTATAGAAACATACTAAGACCAGGAGGAAACAATATGAAACAAGCATATGCCTAAAGTGCCTGGGTTCTCCCACAAGTCCTTGCTTTTCATGATTTATATAATGTATACACATCTTTAATAATCATGTATATATTTACAGTATATCAGTATATATATAATATATTATATTTGGCTGGGGCACAAAGGAGCGGACATCCACTGTGGCCATAGCGTCTTGACTGAATTACACATAATATATATATATATACATAATAATATTATATATATGCAATATATATATAACAATATATATATAATATGCATAACATATATATATATATACATAATATATATATATGTATATATATATATATTTATTTATACAAACGCGGCTAGAGGGTGCGGAAAAAAATGACGGATGGTTTCCATGTTTCAATTGTTTCTCTGGGTTCGACAGGCCTAATAACATCCAACAATCCTGGTTTTCAGATCCCAAAATGGCCAAAATCCAGCGTCAGGAGAGTTTCAACCCTCCCGAAATCACCGAAATCGCCAAGCGGCCAGTCCACCCTCAATGACGCCATCCTCCACCAGGCCCACACCTCCCTCGTAAAAGGTGATACCTACGACTGCCACTGATGCGAATTTCTGGATGTGGCAGGGAAAATCTCAAGATTTCAGCAAAATATCTGGTTGGTGGTTGAGCCTACCCCTCTGAAAAATATGAAAGTCAGTTGGGATGATTATTCCCAATAAATGGAAAAATAAAAAATGTTCCAAACCACCAACCAGTCTGATGTTTCACCAAATGTGCGACGGTCTAAACATGGTACTGATTCCATGGTCATCAGTTTAGGGGGTATCGCTCCTCAAGGCTCCCTATCGCTTCACACAGTGGGAGCTCACTTTTGGCCAAAAACAATCTGTATTCATACCTGGTAACCCTCCAGATTGCTTTTTTCTGCTCTGTTTTAAGAAAACGTTGTTTTTTTGCCATTTTGAACGCAAAAAGTGCTCCGGAACGGTTTTTTCCAATCTGAACGCTTTTTTACGCTCTAGAGGTGTTTTCCTTGCAAAATGACTAAATCATAACATTTGGCATGATATCTTACGATGGCCTCCAAACTCAAGCTGACTGGCTGTTGTTTGTAGAAAACACCAATATAAAGCTGATGTGTATATATATATATGTACAGTCTTATAGAGGGAAACAACTGCAGGCTATCAGCTTCGCCAAGCCAGCATGATCTGGGTAAGGTACCGGTTGAAGGTACGCAATGCCATCAAGCGAGGTGATACATGTCTGGTTATGTAGGCAGCATGCCCAATAAAGTCCTCATCCAGACTGCAACTCTCTACCATTGGATTCAAAACCCATTGACTGAACTTGGCTTGGTGTTCCATGAGGAAAAGAATCTCTTCCAGTGGGTGAATCTTTGGAATCAGGGGAAATTTCATCTGACCTTTCTCACGCGATCTAGCAGGATTTGGGATTGTGAGGCTTATACTGCTGAAACAAAAAACCAACCACAGGACTGAGACGTGTGCTTTGCCAACTGAAAAATTATATAGTTGCCAATCAAAAGCTATAAATGCATGCACATCCCAGTCAGTAAAACTGATGTAAATTGAAAAGGGATATATGAGTCTCAAAATACCTTCAAAATTATGGTGTAACCTCTAGTACACTGCGGTAAAATCTTTTCCAGCACGTCAACTGCGGATAGTAAATCTGAAAAGGGTCAATGTTTTGAATCAAGTTTTCCCAGAGTGGTCCAGGTGACTTTGGGGACGGCATGGTTTGGATCTTGAAAAGTCTTTCATTTTACGTAAAATTTTGCGTAATGTCGAACGGTTTCGAACGGTTTTCGAACGCTTTTCGAACGCTTTTTGAACGCTTTCGAACGGGTACGCTTTTTTTACGCAATTGGATTTGAACGGTAATTTCCAATCTGAACGCTTTTTTTACGTAATTTTATGTTTTTTTTCAATCCGTTTTTTCCATTTTTTATATTTTTAGTTTTTCTTGATTTTCTCTCTTTTTTTTTGGGAAAACGCTTAAAAACCTGAAGGTGCGGAGAATGGGGGGTAGCTCCCCAACTAAAATGAAATAGCGCAGCAACTACTCGGCAGCGGCCGGCAATCTTCTTTTCAGCGTGATTTGAACTGTCGACAGCTGCGGTCACAGCGGCCAATGAAACATGCCAAAAACGTGCACCAAGCAGCCAAACTCACATCCCAAAGGGAGAGTGTTGGCATGTTGAATTAGCCTCTGGCGCTGCCAGTAGCAGAGGTCCCGGTGCTACCGGTTTTGGCTTTGCCAAATTTGACCTTGCGGCGCTGTCGCTGTTGCCTTCTCAGGCTCTGCCTGTGTTCCTCAAGAGCTCGCTCTTCCGGCGTCTCTTTCAGGGACAGGGTGTTCTCCTTGCAGAACTTGTCCCATAGGATGGCTTTCATCCTCTTTGTGAGCATATCGGCCATTTGGCGATGGGTCGGGACCCAATAGGTTTCAAAGATCTTCTGGCTCATCATATCCTTGGCCACAAGGAGATCGAGCATAGTTTGACGCTCCGAAGGAATAAGCGTCGTCTGGAGGTGATCCCACAAAGACCGGGCATCTGTCACGAGCCCTCCTCCAAAACGTAGATGCTTGCGCCATTCCTCCTTGATCTCAATCTCTCCTGTCCATAGAATATCCAGCAGGATTCTCAGGTAGAGATGCCGGTCCACAGTCAGGGACATGGCATTGCTCTCTGCGGCCATCGAGCTCCTCACCACCCGCGTGGAACGTGATGAGTGGTATTCAATTGGCGCAGCCAAAGCAGGTCCTTGCTTGACAGCTTCAGTTGTCAGAAAGTGGATTCCACCAAGCTGCGAGCGACCGTCTTCTTCTTTTCCAAGAGAAGCATCGAAAAAGCTCAGAAGGTATGGCTTACCTTTCTGTCGGGGATAATAGAGAGATCCCCTCTCGGCTTCTACCTCCTCCAGGAAACTTCCATGAAGTTTGACCGCTTCCTTGAAGTCATCATAGGTGGCTCTGTTCACCTTCTGCGCCAAAGCACTGACCTCGTAGAGCTTTTGTGGCATGGCTTGCTGAGCCGGCCAACGTAGACGCATCGTCAGTTGCCTGAACCGCGTCACATCTTCCGGTTCCAGTGGCTCTGCACCTTTCTTCTTTTCAGCTTCTGGAATCTTGATTCCATGCACGTAGGAGCTCATGTCGTCATAAATTCCTGGCTTCTTTCCTGTCTTGATATCTACCCCCAGGAACGTCACTGGCATTTGACGCCACTCCTTGATCTTGAACAGCTTGTTCAGGTCATCCTTGAGCTTCAAGTATCGGGCATCTTTTGGATGTCCCAGCAGCAATCCATCATCTACGTGTAAACACAAGATTGCATACGTCTCTCCTTGCTCCGAGGCTACAAATGTAGCTTTTGCAGCTGGAACTTCACGAAGGGATGTCTGGTGGATCAGCTGCACTGCACGGAGGTACCATAACCTCGGTGCTTCTGCCAGACCATATGCTGATTTCATAATCCTCAGCAGTTCGTAGGGTAGGACCTGTGACCAACCATCCGTTGCTGGCAATCCATCAGGTGGGGCTTTGGCATAGATCTCACGTTCCGTTGCCAGGCCACTCAGAAAAGCCGTGGTCACGTCAAAGACCCAAATGATCCAATCTCGAAACTGCGCCACCGCTTTGGCCATCCTGACTGCCACCAGTCCTGTTGTTGGACTGTCGGTTCTGAACATTCCAAGTCCAGGGTCGGTGTGTCCCGGTAGCACCAGGCGGCTCTTTGCCAGAACAGGTAGAAGTCCCTTTTGCTGTTTGTTGGTCCTGACCATCCTCATTGGTGTCCTGAAAACCGTGTCTGGCGAGACCTTCTTCCGCTCTTCAGGTGTGAGTCTCCTCACCACACCATTCTGGATCCATTGTGACCACTCCTTCCGGTCACTCTCCTCATAGAGCTTCTTCTCCTTACTGTCGAAAAACTTTGGATCCAATTCCTTTCCGGACTTCTTCATCTTTAACAGCATCACCTCGCTCAGCAGGATATCTTTTAGCTCAGCCAGCCATTCTCTTTCACAGGCTTTACGCTGCCGTGAGCTCCATTGCACCTCATAGATATCCCCATCCTTTTCCACATAGCTCTTCACTGCTCCCCGTCTTTTCTTGGGGTCTTTCGGCATCTCCTTGTAATACACGGAGATTCCACGCCAGGGAAAACTGGCACGCCTACGTGGATTCTCTTCCACTTCCTGAGTGTTTTCCTCTACCACGAAAGCATCTCTCGGATCCTGGCCAATCAGGATACTCAATCGGGCGCGGCCCATCAGCTTTGGTGGTCTAGCCATCTTCTTTCTGGGTTGGCGATGCAGTCTTGCGGAAGTCAAAGGCAGACCAGTCAACTCCCGGAGTAAAGCCAATTCATACTGACTGACCCATTCGTTGGCTCGGCCATTCTCCTCATAGAGTGTTCCAAGCATCACCTGTGCAACCAGAGCTTCTGTAACTCTTGCCCTCTTGCTGTGAGGAGCTTCCTCATCAACCTCAGCATGCAGTCGTTTCTTGATGGTCACAGGTACATCATCCAATGCTAGGCGCTGCCTTTCCTCAGGTGTCAGGCGCTGCCTTCTTCTTTCAATCAGTTCCCTTTGAAAATCATCATCATTCGGCGCTGCCGGTGTATTGGGCTCATCATCTGAATCAGATCCGATGGGAACATCTTCGTCTCGTACAGGTGCTGGCTCTGCCAGAGATTGACCTGATGCTGGCTCTGCCGGCGCTCCATCTGTTTCCACAGCTATTTCCTGTCGTTCCTCATCTTCTCCTGGTTGATGGACTTCACCGTCTTCCAACGCCAGCTGTCTTCTCCGACGTTTAGCTTGCACAGGTTCTGGCGCAGCCAGTGCAGGTTGTTCTGGCTCAGCCAGGGCCCGTTGCGATCGTTCCTCGGCAGCTGCCGGTGCTGATGCTACTGTACGCTTCCTCTGTCTCGGCATCATTTGGAATGCACGACGTTGAGGGTCTCGGATTATGTTCCTGACCGTCTTGGTGCCACGCATCATCATCCTGGCCTTTCTCTGATCCCCAGGTTCCGGAGGTTGCTCTTTCCTGGGTCTCCTTGGTCGCAAAGGCCTTCTTGGAGGTGGTGGACCCTTCGGTCTCAAGTCCCGATAGAGGTTGGGAACTCCTCCATCTCTCAAGGCTTCACCAACATCATCCATATCCTCTCGGATAGTCTCGTTGAGAGCCAGCTCCTCCTTGGTGGACAGCCTGAGGTTCTCCTCGGCAACCAGTAGAAGCCTTCCTCTCCAACTGACGAAATATCTCTTGTTCTTTTCCCGCACCAAAACTGTTGCAGGACCACGCCATTCACCTCCTTTCCGATATCTCACTCCTTTTTGATTACTAGGCACCCAGAAGAATACTTGAGCACCTGGGACAAATGGTGCGCTCTGCGACACCGCTGGCTTTCGCAGGACAGATCTGCGAACCTTTTCCTTCACATCTTGCCTGATTAAGGCAATCCTCGCCGTAGTCCGCATCCTGTGGGCTCGAGAAACTTCACTGTCCACAGTGATTCCTTCTGCAAAGGAGAGCTTCACTTCCTCATCA